ACCGCCGGAGCTTATCCCGGTTTCTGTAGCATGAAGTGACTAGAAGCATTTCTACTCCCCCCTGGTTGGGATGCTAGTCCATCACAAGGTTAGCCCCAGCATTAAATTTGCCCTTACCCATTTACACGCCTGGGTGGCGTGAGGCACTGCGAGAGGAAAGTGTTTTTCCCGAGAACACAACGCAGCCTCAGACTCTTTCCCAGTCGCTATTTACGGGTCAGATTGGATTGCTTTAGCCTGCGAACAGGCTCCCGGCGAGGACGGAAAAAAAATACGGCAAGCGAACTGAGCAGACGAGCGCGAAACTGAAGAATTCGGAGGGCGAAGCGATCGGGGCGGGACAGGGGGGGGCTCCCTCGTTCGTGCGGGCTAGACGGGAGCCTGTTCGCAGGCTTGGATTGTTTCAAAGAGAGAGCGGTCTGGATCGAGTACTGGTCTGACGCCGCCTGCCTACATTTCTTACCTGCAAAAACTCGTCCAATTCCACGCAAGAATTCCTATTAGTATCCACCTCAGCTATCACATCATGAAGTTGTTTATCAGACACTTCCTCTCCCATTTCTTTCAGCATGTTTCTCAAGTCCAGTGAGCTTACACAGCCAGTCTTGGATTTGTTGACTCGCTGGAACACTCTCTCGTACTCCTTGATCTCGTCTTCGCTAAAATTGACCTCCACGCGTCGCACGTGCTCTTGAACGTCCAATCCCATGGCTCCGAGAAACTTGTGCGTTTCAGCTATTTCTGCCTGGTAAATGAAAAAGCGACTCAGAAACTACGACAGCGTCCACACAACACCGGAGAAATTTTAAAGCGCAGCTTTATTTCTACGGTTAGGCCTACCATCCACACTAATCTGCTTTTCGAAACGCTCTTCAAACCGCCAGGAGGAATTTGAAAACGCCAGCTTTTCGTTTTCTTGTGGACGGAACGCATTTGAAAACGGAACTTTTCGAAAGCGATGGCGTCACGGTAATCATGTGATTTCTCTGAATAAGTTTTCCTCAAACACAAATCCAAAATGACCGGTGATTGTTGCGTTATAAAATTCTTCCGGCGTAGTGTGGGCGGAAAAAATTTGATGCGTTTTCAAAATGAAACCTCCGTTTTCAAATTTTTCCGGCGGGGCTAAAACGCACCCCTGTGTAACAGACGTGGTGATCCCGAACTGGTGAATTCTAAAAAAATTTGTCCCCCGCAACATGTTGCATGAAAATCAGCTGGTTTGAATTAGTGAGTCATGAAGCAGGAACAAAATGACCTCAATTTTCAATGTTGCATCGTGTGTACTGCTCTTGCAAACTGTCCCCGCTACAACATAGAAATGAACCAATATCCGCTTCGTGTGCATCAGCTTGCTTACTGTCCCTGCAACATGCACCCTACACGAACAGGCTTGTTCTCGCTTTACGTCCCCACAACATGTCTTCTAGTGTGTGCCGACCTTAAAATTTTACATCTCGTTTACCTCTTTCTTTGTTTTGGACCACTTCAGTTCCTTCCCCATGATCTCGGCAATCTTCGGAATAGCGTCGGCCGCAGCCTCGGCGTTTAAGAACGCGAGGCGCGTTCTTCTGGCAAGGATGTCTACGATCGTGCACGCGTATTCCTTGACAGCGTACTGGATTTCCGCTTCGATGTACGGAAATTGTTCCACAAGTCGTTTCCCCACGACTGGCCAACGACTTCCGGTTATACTGGCTAGTTTGGCGACTTCCGGTGCCTTGTTCCCATATGTATGAGACAAGTGTTTGGCAACCTGTTCAAGGAACATGGAACAAATTTTGCAGTTAACATATAAAATCTCCTTACCAAATCAAACAATTTCTGTAAGTTTCCTAAAGAGAATTTGACACGGCATCATTGCAAGAAAACTCTAAATAAAACATTTCAATAGCTTAGAAAACTTTCAGTATCCTCAAGTTAATTGAGACTTGCTTAGTTGTGAAGTTTAAGCCTGATTTAGACGCAAATTCTTTGTACTGGTCTCCATCGATTTCCAACAAAACTTGTTGGGGGGAGATTGTTCTTCCACTTATAAAAAACATCATTGCAATTTTTTTTTAACATCTAGTAGCTTTTTCTTTCGTGACATTCAGGTTTGACCCAGCAATAAACTTTACGAAAAAATCTGATAATTTTTGTTTCACGATAAGGTCTGAATATCATCTCAAGTGCACAAGTAAACAGGGAAAACTATTTCACTTCACGTCAACCAACCTCAACTTCGAGACCAAAATCTTGCACAAGTCGAATGAAGTCATTTGACGAGAAACCCTCCCCTCCCTCAAGAAAAAGTCCATCTGTTTGACAATCCCTGGCCGGCTTGAGCCCGCGCTCCTTAATAGCAGTTTCCATTGTGTCAACTGCCATGGATCGGTATGTCGTCCATTTTCCACCAGCGATCGTTACCAGTCCACTCTTGCTGACCAGGATCAGATGGTTGCGTGCGATCGAGGCGGTGCTTTTGGAGTTGGGGTCTATAACCAAGGGTCGGATTCCGCTCCAGGCCGCTAGGACATCACCGCGGCGAACTGAAAGAGAAGATTGTTACAAATTTACACATTTTGGAAGAGGATTTTATGTCCACCGAGACCATACTTAAAGGTTAGTAACGCTCTCAACGATTTTAAACGCGGAAGACGGTGAGAGTTTTCTCCTGTTTTAAAATAAGACTGGCATACTCTCAGCTATTTCAACCACGCTTATGACGGCTGACGAGACTTGAAGAAAACCAACATAACTTAACATCCAAATAACACACCCCAAGCCTCACGAACTCTCTACTTTATCCGGCCTTAACACTCCATTTCCAGAACACCAGTCAGTTTTCTCGTGTTAAAGCAAAAGTTGTCTTGCATTAAAACGTTCCGCTTTCGAAATGAATCCAAACGTTTCATTCAGGGATCATCCACGTAACTGGAAATTTCCCTTCTCAAGACATTTACCAAAAATACGGAACATTTCTAAGATTTTTGCGATTTTCTTCGGTCCCATCCGTATGTTGACTTCCATTGGTTGTTGCTAAGCTACGAATTTTCGCGCGCAAATAACAACCAAGCAGAGAAACTTCACAGACCTCTATAAGGTTACGTCAACAGTACGGAATTTTATTAGATCTCTCGTCGTGTAAGCTTCGTGAAGTGTCATGTTAAGTAGAGGTTAATGTTACTGTATGACTCACCATCTACGTCTGCGCTGAGGTAATGTTTGATCTCACTAAGGATAAACTGAATCTCCGCTTCTTTAGGTGCAGGGTTGTAGGACAGTTCTGTTGGAGAATCAGTCGTGCCAGCGATCGTCTTTCCTACAACATAATTTTTCAATAAATCAACCAATCAATCAATCAATCAATCAATCAATCAATCAGTCAGTCAGTCAATGAATCAATCAACTTTATTTGTCACTGGTTCATGCCACAACTAACGAGAAACACAATTCCGCCCTATCAGTCCTTTGCCTTCTGTTTCCGTAATAAACAGTAAGTAATATAAGTACACAAGTTTAACTTACCCTCCCATGGAAGGAAGAATATGACACGTCCATCACTTGTAGCAGGATCCAAAAGTCCCATGTGTTTTGGACTGAAAAAAAGGATCATTGTGGTACAATGTAAGTTATGGCTTTCAGCTGCAAGTACAGAGTGTGTGACCTTTTCTGGTACTGTTTATTATGCTTTACAGAGTGGTTCTAACTTTGACGTCAGTGGTTGAAACTCTAGTGTGTGTGACCATTCAAATGAAAGCTGTTAAGCACTAGTTCTATCATATGGTGCTGTAATTTATGTTACATAAGACAAAATACCTGTAGTAATCTGGCAGTACAATATGCACCCCTGAGCTTGGCTGACAGATATCAGAGTCCATTGGGTCATCCATCTTACGGATTCCATCAGTAAATGGGCCAGTGGCATTCACGACACATTTGGCTCGTATATCAAATTCTTCACCAGTTATCGCATCACGAACATGTGCTCCACAAACTACTTCATCCTCCTTGCCTTCCTCTGGGATGTGAGTACAAATTTTGTGTTAATTAATTTACAACAAGCCACTCCTAAAGTACAGCCAGTTGTAAAGATCCTTGGTTAGTTTTTTATAAATACTCTACAAGTGAATTATATATGAAAGATCATATATTTGAACTCAGTACGGAGAAAGATATGAAGACATGATAGATCACTGCATTTATGTACACAACTTAAGCAGCTGTGAAATATAAGCCTGAAAAAAATTCAGGCCTGAGCGGGATTCAAACCCATGACCTCTAAAAAACTGGACAGGTGCAGTGCTCTACCAACCGAGCTATCAAGCCAACTGGGTGCTCAGTGGTCACTTTGTGAGTTGATAATATACCCATAAATGGTGAAGAATACAAGTGAATAGATGAAAGATCATTTATTTGAACTGCAGGGAAAGATATAAAGACATGATTGATCATCGCAGTTATGCACACGTTGTGAAATTAGAGCCTGAAAAAAATCCAGGCCTAAACAGGATCCCATGACTTTCTTTACACACTGCAGATCCCTGACTGTGTTACAGATAAGAAAAAGTCTTGCCACTGAACATGGTGGGTTACCTGACCTAAAAAGTTTTTAAAAAACCTCTGACAACTTGGTGAAGCCCTTTTCTGTTGACCTAACACAATTCCTCACTGACTGGTCCCCTTGTCTTCAAATCATATCATGCCCAGTATTTTTAACTGGGCACACAATCATTAACATGTTTACCACGTACCTTTCTTTTTGAGTAGAGACAAGACTTCCATATGATTGGCAACAGATGCTCCATGTCTGACAGCCGTCAAGGCAATAGCTAGGTTCATTCTTGCATCATTGTGCTGACCTATAAATACAACCTCAGCCGCTAAATAACAATAATATTGCCTGGCAACTTTGGCAAGGAGTGTGCACAGAGAACCATGTTGCTGAAACCTTCACAATGCACTGCAGACCTACCACAATGTTTGGGAATAGTTTTAAATTGCCATTTAGAATTAACAGCATTGATGTCCCTATACTGGGGTGGTGTCTTGGTGAGGGTTTCAGGGAACTGCATGTATAGATAAATGTCAAATATAAAAGAATTTAGCTCACCATCATAATAAATAATTGCACCACATAATTTCTCCTTTTTAAGCATCGGAAAAAGCTCCACTGCTTTCTTCTTTCCAACAACATAGCTACTCTTAAGCAACTTTCGGCCGGACACAAGGTCATACATCTTGATTCCTGCCCAGAAATAAGGAAGCTGCCACCATCTAAAATGGACACACTATACATTAATTGCTGTTAATACTTCTAGTAAGGACTGGTCCACTGCTTGTTGAGCCTTTGCACCATCCTCTCAAGCCCATCAATTTAATATTAAAAATCACTAATGTAAGCAAGTATCAAACAATCTTTCTCCCCTTCAAAACAGTTATAATTTTTACTTCTCAAGGCTATTGTAGCTGCACTAGATTTCTATGGCTGGTTTATTAAACATGAACACTGAGATTTCCATGTGACTATGTATATGAAATTTTCAGTAATTGGAACTACTAAACATATGTACAGAGAGCCGTAGGGTGATTGCCTCATCCTTTTGCTCCCTTTTTCTTCACATGCCACTTTGCCACTCATTTAGAAGGCTTTTACTTTAGGTAAAAAAAGTTTTCAGTGATGAAAAACACACCACTTAATTTTAGTTAAGCCAAAGGAGACATAGACTCAAGACAACATGGAGGAGGACAGCAGAAGAGAAGAGAGAAAGAGCTGGGTGGACGACCTGCAGTGAGGTGTACATTGCAGTGGCTGACAGAGCTGGTTTGCAGTGAAGTGCAGAGGCCTTATATGCCAAATGTTCTGGAGAAGATAGGTACAGGTGAAATTTTAGTTTCAGTTAGTTAAGGCATGCACTTTCATTGCTGGACTAAACAAACGAGTTGAATTCATTGCTTTCACACAGGTCACCCATGAATAATTGCTACAGTTACCTGTAAACTGGTAGCATGATTGGTAATGGTGCAGATAAGTGCGGTGCAATAGCCAACAGGTTAGCTCTTTCATGTAATGCTTCCTTCACAAGGCGATACTGCAAAAACAAAAATGTGCATAATTATGTAAAGTTAACCAGTAAAATAATACTGTTATATGAGACATCAAATTACAGTTGGACCCTCTCATTTTCATTAAACCATAGGAATCGTTCTTACAATCCTATTTATCTCCATAGTGAAATTCAGACAAATAATGATCTCACCTGCTCTCTATCCAACTGCATAATTGCTTTTTGTAGATACCGCACACCACCATGTATCAATTTGGTGCTTCGACTACTGGTTCCTGAAGAAAAGTCATCCCTTTCCACCAATGCTGTATTAAGACCTAAGAAAAAAAAACAAAAGTTGAGAGGTGTCTTGACTGGGCCTTAACTGCCTTCACTAGCCCAGGAAGATTATACAATGATACTGGATAATTCAATGTGTAGTTCCAGAAAATACCCATACCTCCCCCACAGAAGGTANTTACAGTTGGACCCTCTCATTTTCATTAAACCATAGGAATCGTTCTTACAATCCTATTTATCTCCATAGTGAAATTCAGACAAATAATGATCTCACCTGCTCTCTATCCAACTGCATAATGGCTTTTTGTAGATACCGCACACCACCATGTATCAATTTGGTGCTTCGACTACTGGTTCCTGAGGAAAAGTCATCCCTTTCCACCAATGCTGTATTAAGACCTAAGAAAAAAAACAAAAGTTGAGAGGTGTTTTGACTGGGCCTTAACTGCCTTCACTAGCCTAGGAAGATTATACAATGATACTGGATAACTCAATGTGTAGTTCCAGAAAATATCCATACCTCCCCCACAGAAGGGAATTTTTCTAAGTCCCCCCCCCCCCCCCCNACGATTATAACAGAACACGTTCATTAATAAAAGCCTAGAACAAACTGTTCCAGAGTGCCTGACAAATTAGTTAATGACCCATGAAGGTCGATGCAAAAACACTTCTAGGCTAATGCAAGTCCTTAATTAAACTCAAGCATTCTTGGCAGAGTCAAGTATTCGGCAGCTCCAGAGGGAAAATTTTCTGTAACAGTATAATTAATGTACAAAATTCTGTGTACAAGTAAAGTTAAGCTTATGTAATTTACAAACCTGTTGACCACTGTCACGAAACCTGTAATATGCATAAAGTCCACCGCTAACGGCGGCTGTTCCACCCAAAATACGAGCATAAGACATCACAAAACGAACTGAACAGTCTGTGAATAGACACAATGGCTAACAGAATGTCAGAAACGCTTCCAGAATGTTGAAAGCGGCCGACTGTGTGGCGAAGTCTGAGTCACTTCATTGGCGATCGATTTTGTTGAACTCTCTCAAATGACCAAACAAGGAGGCTTTCCAATAGGAGAATCAGATGGTATTGTACTAATAAAAAAAATATACTTCGGCTGGAGAGCTTTTTTGATGATCCTAACCAAAGAACATACAGCCCCGGCCGGAGGGATTTAGAAAGTGAAATGACAAACCACTAACCCTACCCAGATCCCCTCATTGGGGCTACTGAAGTTCCCAGGCCTCCGTAGTTGGGAGGTTAGGGAGTCATGGAGTCACGTAGTCACGCAGGCGTTGCGTCACGTAACCTAGTCAGACTACCTGGTATCTATAGTAGAATTTGCCTTTTTAAAAGGTCAAGCTCATGCTTGCATGCATCATATTGCGACTTTACTTGACGCTTTACTTATGAATCTATATTTTGAAGCAGGTCTTTCCACGTTTGCAAACGAGATCTCTAATCATGGTGACCGGGTAGGACTTCTCTTTACAACAGTTAAATGTAGGTTCAATAATATCCTAGTTTTTTCTTTTTTTTTTCTTTTCTTTTATTTTATTTTTATTTTTATCTTTTTTCTCCAAGTCTGATCAGAGTTTTCTGACCAATCGACCTTGCTCATTCCCGCCTCTCTCCAGGCCTCCCCAGACTCAGTAAACAATTACCCAGACTTCCACAGTGGTTAGTTCGCTGTCCATTTCGAAAAATTCTGGAAACCCTTGAGCATAATAACGAAGTCAACCAAAATGGGTTTTCCTCGCTTTCAGCTTGGATGACCTATTGGAATTGCCATGGAAGACACTACAAAATATGGAGCTTCGACTGTACTCTTAACAAGTGTAATTGCAACGAAGGAAAAGTCCAATGAAATCGATGGATTTCCTTGTGTGTCGCCCTTGGACGACGGTAAGATTCATGTAAACATTTTTTGTTTTATTTGGCTAAGCATGTAGTGATCGGATGTTGTTGCAGTGTTTGAGTAATCTTATCGATGTCCTCTTAGAGGGTGTAATTTGATTTCTTGTTATTTCTTTCATTCAATTTTTATTGCCTTTTAAAAGCTAGCGATGTCCTTCACGAGTGAAATATTTTTTTCCGATTACTGATTCTTCCTGATCGAGTTACACGACACCCGTTCAAATCATGTAATATATCTTGTCTAAAGCTTAGGTATGACAATCAAGCTGTGTCGATGTTGACACTGTATAGATCACGTTAAGTCGTTTTACCGATTGAATTTGTCTTTTATTGGAGAAAACAGTTCGAATTTCTCGTCTGATTTTACAAAACGAACCCCTAAATTAGCTTTGTGCGTAAATTTGTAAGCTTACATAATGGTCAGTTTCACTCACATTTCTGGAATAGAAATTTTAAAAGTCAAACTAAGTGTAAATGACTGAAGAGGGCGATGTCTTTAAAAGAACCTCTCTCCAATCCAAAGTATATAATCCTTAGCAAAGAACACAGCAATCGTAGGAGACAAATCTATTCTGAATATTTTTTCCCTGCGTTGTTTTGCCCATCTTGAAATGACGTTTGTGAGTAAAACCACAGTTAAAATTTAATCAGATTGTTATAAAAGTTTAATTATCACTAACAAGAATTCAAGGTGTTTCTCGTTTAAATGATAAATTATTTAACTTTGTGCAAGCAAATATTTCTCTCAAATTTATTTCAAATGCCCCCCTGTGTGACCATTATTTAAGCTTGGGATTGAATCGGATTGTAAATTTTTAATGATTTTTAATTATTAGTCCCATTACTTTGCAGATGGATTTATGTTTCATCTGAAACCTTTTTTAGTTTTGGGTTTTTAATTGGTATATGTGAATTCACGCAAAAGTGCATGCACTTAAAAAAAATCACAAATTTGAAGATATTTATTTCATGAATTTCACAAAAGTAAGTCTGAAATGAAAATAGTGTTGAAAACATGGACAGCAATCCATGGGGATTAAAAATATTCAAAGATTAAAAGTTGTAACATATGTTTACCAAATGTCTGGCTTCTCAGGGAGATTTTTAAAATCTTGAAATTGCTTCATTTACAATTTACCCTCTGAGATTCTTGCCTGATTTTGATTGGTTCTTTTAATTAATGTACAACAAAACATATGGGTTGATTAATATATAAAAATGGCAGAATTCACTCAAGAAACCTGTGACCTCAGAGAATTTTTGTTAGTGTAAACTGATTATATTTCTTTTTTGCTCCCTTTACTTCTCATCTTTGTTTTAAAACACTAAGAGTGAAAGAACTCTTAGAATTTGGCTATTATTTTGTTCACATTTTTGTTGGTACATTTTGTACATTTTGGACATTTATTTAATAA